AACATTAAAAAAAAAACAATAAGAATAAAAATAACAGACATGCTATGAAATAGAATCCTAAGACCATATTCATATATGAAATTACTCATTATGTTCATATTACACTATCATCGTTTTTGGATATTTACTAGGAAATATATTAAATATGTATTATAGTGTAATAGGCTCATAATATTTGAGATTCATATATCATTTTTTAGTTTTTCACAGATTTGCAGATGCAATTGGGTGTTTCAACAAATCACGTTGGAAAGTATTAGTAAAAATATCAATGAAAATCTTAAACGTCAATATATATTCAGCTTTTTTATTTGTAGATTTAGAAGTTTATTATTTTATTGTGGTCCTTTATTTACAATATTTAAATTTACTAATTTTATACTGTCTAAAAGACAAGCTTTGTTTATATTTTTTTTTTCTACTCTAATAAACAGTTGTACAGAGTGATTGGGACAAAATTTTACTAAATTTATTTTCAACCATTAATTTTGACCATGTCAAGAAATGACCAAAAATCAGTCTGTCCGACACTACATTATTAAATTGACATTCATAATTGATGCATACGTGCTACGTAGGTCATCACCACACATAAGCCAGCGGTTTTTGCGCATCTAATTTTCTATAAAAATATTTAAAACTCTAAGGGGCTAAAATCACAGAGTTAGGTTTTATTGAACATTAACAATGTCGAGATTGTTTTTATGTTTGCTTTTTAATCAATTGATACTGAATATTATTAGGAATTTGATTGTCGATTTTATTGAATATTTTATATATTGCAATGTAGATGCATTGGGAAATTATTTCAATTAAATTACGTAAATCTTAACATTAAAATTACATTGATAACATATTATACATAAAATGGAATGCACACAGTTCATATATGTACATAAAACGTATTGCACATAGTCCTTTACAAGTGTAATTTGAGATCAGAAAGTTTATTAGGTAACAAATATGTATAACAATATTAAATGACAGGTTTTATAAGCATTAAATTTTAACATATTATAGCAACTACCATAACACTTCTAAAATTGTTTTTTATCTAGAATTAGGCGCAACATTATTCTAAACGGAAATATTGAAAGGAGTTATTGTCACTAGTAACAACACATACAAGACGCACGTACAATATTATTTACACAACATCAAATATAATTGACGAACAACTTCGATTTACATGAATGATAATAAAATAAGATATATAAGCTAAAAACGGAAAAATATAGCTTTAAATAACAGCTCGGTCTAATAATAACTTATTTAAAGAGGTTTGCATATAATATAGCGAAAGCTGAAATTCTTTTATGCTTTGTGAAATTTCTGGAACGTTATTACGAATCGCAATTCATGACAATTTAAGCAAAGAATATATTTAAAAAAAAATAGCGAAGACGCTGCAAACTTTTTATACTGCAATTACATTCAATAGCAAACATATAGCATACAGCTTCCGGCTTTTAATCACATATCTTTATGAAGTTACACTTTTATTATGTCCTTTTTAATATATTATGTAACAGTCATATACAGATTCATTTGGACAAACACACAATAATATAATTGACGAATAAATATTACACCATTACTTCTACTACTATAAAGGTTCTGATGAATTTATAACGAAGATGAAGAGCTTTATAGCTACAGGCTCTATGTTAAGTCTATGTTTAAATAAATAAGTTTATACACACTTCTGAAATCCGTCCGTTCGTCTGTGTAGGCACCTGTCACATATTTATGGCGCCAAACAACAGTGCATGCACTGCTGTGCCGGCAAAGAATAAATAATAGTACTACGTAGTTCCGTTCTAAGGGTATAGAGTCAGTATAATTAGTTACAGACTGTGAGGCATTCCATTTTAGTCCTTAGAGGTGACAACGTATCCGTAGCCTTAATTGTTTGAAATTGTTTGCAGGTATCCGTGGGCTACAGTAGCCACTTAAGTACCATCAGATACTAGGACTGTAAATTCGTTAGCCAATTTTATAAAAAAAAAAACTAGCTGGTACCCAGCGCGTTGCTGCCACAGAAATAATATTTGTGGAAAGATCGTTTTAAATTTGGAAGGCCTATATTGTTTAATTAGGAATGATAATACATTCACTGAAATTGAATGACATAATTATAGCTCTCAAATAAATATGTCGGATTTCGCGGAAGTGTAAGCAATATGTTGACAAAGTTTTACCCCAATCTGTTGAACGGTATGGCAGCGCATAAAATACGAACAAAAATAAATTTTTATATAGGTATTAGATCATACTACTAATATATATTAATAATAGTAAAAAGACACATTTGTATAATATTAGAGTACCAAACGATCTAATCTAAACGGTTCATGACGGTAAGTAGGTACTGCAGACCATAGACACTTGAGGAAATTTCATGCGAAAATATGAAATGTTACACAGTCTGTAATTTTATTAGCTCTTTTACCATTTAAAAACGAAACATAGCATGTTTCGTTTTTAAATGGTTGAAGCCATGTTGGTTGGCCGCAGAAATAGACATATTATATTAGTATTTTGAGTTTAAATATTTAAGAAAAACTAGACAGAATAAAAAAAACAACTAAACAGATTATCGTTTTGATTTCGAAATTTGAAGAATATAAGATGACAGTGCCAGAAGAAGCAACCGAAAAATATCCAGATATTATAATATTGTCTGGCAATATAACAAAAAGCTAAGTAAGTACATTTAAAAAAAAATTATATTATCCATTAAATTCATACTTTCTCTTTTGGTTTAATGTGGCCATCTTTGATAAATTGTTATTATTTACAATTCTGGAAGAAGAGAGAGTAAAAAAATAGTATTTACACAACATACCTTTCTCTATTACTCTGATAAAAAAACTGATATTATGACATTACACCACACAATTTGGAATTCAGTTAATCGGGGAAGAACGTTTATTAGGTATGTAGTTTGTTGAGGTAAAAGATTGTTTTTAATTGGAAAACGAAAGGTCAGTCAAAAGTTTATAACATAAAACTAAATTATGTAACTTAATAACGTAATATAAATGCAGGTTAGGTATAACGAAAATTATATCTGTTTGACTTTTACTATTGAAAATCTAATAAAGTCCTACATTGAAAATAATGTTGTTGAAAACATTTGAATAATTTATTTTTTATAATAAATAAGATGGTGATGGTGGTGAAATTTTTTGTGAGCATTACCATTTTTTGTTTTATTTTACCGGTGCACGCAATGCACAGGCCGCGTGAACGCATTGCGATCGAAATTGAACCAAAGAATAAATAAATCGCTACGTTTAAATTGGAATCATATTATAGCTCTGGTAAAGCTGTATTGAAATTTTCACTGTACAAGTAATTGATAAATATCGTAAGCTAAATTATTTATCTATTTCTATTTTTACAACTAGTAATAAACTTGTTTGCCTATAAGTGTTTACATTATTATTACATTTAATTCGTAAAAATCTCGATGTTTGTCTATGAAAACCCTTAAACCGGTTTTTGATTTTAAACGCAAAGAAACATTTGTGCTTGAATATTATTTCTGAATAGTTAAAGGGTAAGTACCTATATGATATCTTGTAATAAACGTGTAAATAAACTATTTTAATAACAATGTAATAATATATTATAAAAATAAAATTTCAATGAATAGAGACGATGAAATAAAATACTTTCTGTCGTTTTTTGCCGCGTTTTTTAAAATAAATAAAACTTGAACATGCAATAAAAGTACCTATAAAAATAAATTATATAAATAAGTAATTTTTAATATTTAACTCTGAGAAATTTTAACAAATATTTATAGTTAAATTACACGATTATAAACGAAACTTATTTATCTTCCTTTCTTTATTTTTTGTATAATTTGGGAAAATTGCATTAAATAGATATTACTTATTTAATAATTAATAAAATTAATTTAAGCTAACATCGATGTCTCATTAATCATAAGATATTATAATGTTTCTATAGGACAAACACTTATAAATTCCGTCCACAGATAAATCAATCTAATGGAAAACACGCTCACGCTTGACTACTAATGTGCTAATCAAATTAAATAACTTACATTTAAGCCAAATGCTGTTCGTTTATAACGAATAAACATTTAAGAATAGTAATTCTTTATTTTCCATTATTCTTTAGTCCTATTTAATAAAAGTATTTATGTTAGTATTTTATAAACAAGATACAAATCTAGTTTACGCTGGCGCCATAAATATTAAATGAATTTAAGAGTGTCACAGAGAAAACTATAAAATTACATTTAATGTACTAACAATACTTATGTTATACTTATAGCAATACTTTTTAAAGAGATCCATGGTTGAGTTTCATCTGCCATTAATTATTACCTAACGTTTAAAAATTAAAGCGATAACGAATAACGTTTATTAAAACTAAGTACGATCGAACGTTTTATCGCAGTGGTTTGAAATCACTAAACGAAATTAAAAAAAAATCGCATATTTCATTTAAACGCTTGTTTTGGATCTGATAATATTTCAATAATATTAATTTTATTAAAATAATATTCTGATCATACCTTAGAGTATTTATAAGCATAGCTTGCTTAATTTATACTCTACTCTAAGGAGCAAACATTCTAGACTGAAGCGAAAAATAATTTTATCGAGCTCTGAAAAAAGTTTCAATTTGACGATGTGTGATCATAATTCGATTATTTTTATTAAAAAGACAAATAATCGCACTGCAATAATATGTTATTAATTATAAAAAAATAATTAAACGTCATATTGTTTCACGAGAGTCCGGTTGGTGCTATCATACAATTTGGCCTGTGACATGTGACACTCTTTGGATGAAGATAAATCTAACGACACAAATTAAAACCCTTCAAGCCGTTTAGACTGGGATTGCAAAGGAACCGACGTTCATAATATTATATACATTTGAAAAACATTACCCCGTTTCTGTGGCAGTCGGTTAAAAATTAAGAGGTCGATGATGACGATCAGACAGAAACGTGATTAATAAGTAGATTCACAGTCAGGCAGGTGGAAGTTTCCGAACACGTTAAGTTCGTAGAGGCTGGCGAGGGTGATAAAGAGCAGGTACCAAATCATCAGCAGCACGCCGAACTTGCGGTCCAGCTTCCAGCCGTTGGCGTGGGTCGCCACCACCAGGAACACCACCGTCGAAAACAGCGACAGGGTTGAATAGATTAAACCTGAATTAAGAATACATTCGATTATTTCATTTCTAATTACGAAGATGTCCACCTGGTCAAGGAATGATCTGTCCCTTGGTTATAGAACCAGATTAAAGGCAAATATCCGAAGTCGTTCATCACATAGGCTTCCACATTGAATGACTCATAATGGATATATTTGCCATAGTTGCCACGCCTGGTTGACAACCGCAGTTTTTTGATTTTTTAGTTGTTGTTATTAGGATGACGCTGCTGCCCATCTCCTGATTTGTTTCCCTCTGTTGTCTTTTACGACAACCACGGGATGATATGGAGTAATGTATATTCTTACACTGCTACTACACTGTACTCCGAAATGATTTTCAATTTATTTATTTAGTTAATAATCTTAAAACTAGCTAGTCAAGTTATACAGGGGCCCGAGGCCGTTTTAAAAATATTAATTTAATTAATATAGAAATGATTATTTGCTACCAGAACTCGCTTAAGACTAAGATAAAATCCTATGCTTAAAACAATCGCATGTCAGTTCATCCAGAAACTCTATTTGCCAACTCAGCATCTGCCTGCGTGCACTCAGAATATTCTACTGGCCCGGACATTTTGTAGTAGAACTAGAGTAACCGACATAGCCCAACGGATTAGTAAGCTGAAGTGGCAGTGGGCCGGCCATATAGCTCGAAGAACCGACAACCGATGGGGAAGAAAGGTTCTAGAGTGGCAGCCTCGTACCGGTAGGCGAAGTGTAGGGAGATGGAGTGACGACCTGGTAAGACATGCATGAAGTCGATGGATGCAGGTGGCTCAGGACCGTGCTTTGTGGCATTCCTTGGGGGAGGCCTATGTTCAGCAGTGGACTTATGAAAGGCTGTAATGATGATGATGATGATGCCGCGGACATTTTGGTGGGTCTTGCCACCGTAACAACCTTGCTTGAACTTAAAGCTGCACTGCCGCCTGTTATTAAATTGACGATCATGAAGATAAAGAACCGTGGAAATTTAATTTGTTCTGTAGTAGTAATCAGTAGCATAGTACAACAAATTGTCATCCTCATCATTACAGCCCTTCACAAGTCGTCCACTGCTGAACAAAGGCCTACCCCAAGGAATGCCACACAGCACGGTACGGAGCCACCTCCATCCATTGACTTCGTTGTCACTCCAACTAGTTGGGTGAAACCTATACTACGCCTGCCGGTACGATACGAGATTTCCACTCGAGAACCTTTCTTCCCCATCGATTGCCGGTACTTCTAGCTATATGGCCAGCCAATTGCAACTTCAGCTTACTAATATGTTGGGCTATGTCGCTTACTCTGGTTCGATATCCTCGTTTTTAAGTCTATCACGCAGAGATACCCCGAGCATAGCGCTCTCAATAGTCGCTGAGTGACTTTGAGCTTCCACATAGCAGTGAAGGACCACGTCTCAGATCCATAGGTCATCACTGGCAACACGCACTGGTTGTACAATCTACTATTAAGGTTTTGAGGTATGCCGGACGAGAAGATGTTTCGTAATCCTCCGAACGCTGCCCAGCCGAGTTGAATCCGTCTATTGATCTCTCGGTCGAAATTGGACTTACCTAGTTGGACTATTTGTACCGGGTGAATATACTCGTCAACAACTTCGAGGTTATTGCTCCCAACAACTACCGGCATAGGTGTGACATGGACGTTACACATGACTTTTGATTTGTCCATGTCCATCTTATTTAAAAGCGTCAGTAGCCTAATGGCAGGGCGCAGACCGCGAACTCGAAAGTTCGTGGGTTCGAATCCGCCATTCGACTACTGACGTGAAAGCTTACCAGAAGAAAGGTTAAAGGGAATATTAGTAATGTTTAATAGCATTACTATTATTTTATTTAAAAAAAAATCTTAAGATCTCTCCGTTGGAAGACATTATTGAGGTCATTGAGCATAGTGCTTAGGTCCACCAGAGATTCTGCCATAAGGACTATATCATTGCCAAATTGAAGGTGAGTGATGTACACGCCATTGACATTAATATCGTATCCTTCCCAGTCCAATCGCTTGAGAACGTCTTCCGATGCAGCGGTGCAGAGTTTCGGGGATATTACGTCACCCTGTCTTACACCTCTCTGCAGTTGGATAGGTTACGTATTTTGGTTCTGTACTCGGATAGCCATCGTAGCTCTACTGTACAATCACGTAAGCACTTCGATATACCGACAGTCAACTTGGAACCGCTGAAGGGACTGTAGCACCGCCCAAATTCCGACGGAATCAAAGGCTTTCTCATAGTCCACATACGCAGGACAAAGTGGTAGATTGTACTCTTCAGTCTTCTGTACAGTTTTCCGAAGGGTATGTATGTGGTTTATGGTGGTAAAGCCCTTTCAGAAACCGGTTGTTCGGGAGGTTGAAAGTCGTCAAGTCTGCGTGCGAGACGATTCGTAATGACTCAAAACAGCACGTAAACGCGGCTCAGAAGGGAAATCGGTTTAAGTTCTTCAAGAGAGCGTTGTCGCCCTTCTTGGAGAACAAGACCATCGCGCTTCTGTTTCACGCCTCCGGAGTAGTGCCATCATGGATGACGGAATTAAAGAGCTTCTTTTTTAAGAACTTTAATTACCGGTTTTCCTCCCGCTTTAAGAAGCTCTCTATCATTACATCCTCGCCCAGGGACTTTCCGTTTTTAAGGTGCTTTAGAACCATTCTAATCTCGCTCAGACTGACGTCCGGCATATCATCGGAATAGTTGGATAATACTTGCTCTTGGGTCTTTCTGGCAGACAGATCACTGGCAAAGAGTTTGGAGCCCTGGTTCCTCTCGATCGCTTCTTCAATACGAGCTGTATTAAAGTTGCGTAAGTCCCGCTGCATGTATTTGGAGATCTTTCTGTTCAGTTGCCTGTATGCTATCAAATCACAAACAGCCATGAGATTAAGAGTGTGATCGGAGAGTTTTTGTGTACTTCTGCGACGGATCTTACAGAACTAAGCTCTGACCGCATGGACAGTTTCCACAAGATTGTCATTCATATTGTCCACTTCATTGCAGTCTTCTCGGCACTGAAGATGATTTTGTAACTCGAGCTGAAAGCTTTCGAGTCTTTGGAATGGATTATCAGGGGGACGGAGCGATGACTTCATTAGACGTGATCTCTCCAACTTAATGTTTAGGTTCAGTGTGCCCCTCACCATTTGGTGATCGCTGCCAGTTTTCACCCTCGCGATCACTGAGACATCATTGAACAGTTGTCGTCTGGTCATCATAATGAAGTCAATCTAATTTTTTATCGAACCTTCGGGGCCCGACCAGGTCCACTTTCTGTGGGGCCGTTTTCGGAAGAAGGATTTCATTATAAAAAGTCTCTCTTTCGTCGAACAGCTGCTGGCCCCTTGGGTTCCTTGGGTCCCTTGGGTGGGTTTGGAATTTCTCTACTTACATCTCACCGTTCTCTCTTGTGCCTAGTCGCAAACGTTGAAGTCTCCCATTAACATCGTACAGGTTTTGGAGCAGTGCATGGCTCTAAAGATATCCTCATACATTTCCTCCATCTCCTCATTGGGATGTGCCGAGGTTGGTGCGTAAACCTGTATGACCTTCAGCGAATACCGTTTGGTGATTTTGAGTATAAGTTACGCAGCCCTCCTCGACACACCCCCAATCTTTACAACGTTGTTAACGAGAGACTTGTAGACGATAAATCCGACACCTTCTTGGGACAGATGGTCGCCCTCCCGGTCGTAGAACAAGTTTCCGGGTTTCAGGATTACCATGCTCTTCCCCTCTCATTGGACCTCCGATAATCGTATAATGTCCCAGCGCAACTTGTTTATCTCTTCTTCCAGCTCCAGGATCTTCTCGTCAGTTCTCAGGGTGCGTGTGTTATATGTTGCCAGGTCGAGTCATCTTAGATGGCAACCTAACCTCCACCGGAGATTCTTATCACCCCCTGCCCCACCGTTCGCAACAAATCATATTCTTATAATTATAATAGTACTTAATTACTTAACATCTTTTTATTCATCCATTAATTCATTCATCCATGTATTCATCCATTCATTCATACGTTAATTCATCCGTTCATTCATCCATTCATTCATTCATTACAGTATATCAAAACTCTAGTGGTGAGAATATAATCTTTCCTTTCTCCTTTTTTATAAATAAAGTCGTAGAGTGTGGACCTGTGTTAGCGCACGCACTCGTGCACGTGCACCAAAATCCTGTCCCTCGCAGATGGCTAGTCTCCGTTGAGACTGGCCGCCGTGACCGAAATTCGGTCTGGAGAATGCTAGGCCTATGCCTATGGGTAGGAGGTTATTTGCCGCAGTTGCAATGCTTGGCAGGCCCGTTGTGTAATTCCATTCAGTTATTATAACGGATTAAAATTCTGGAATATTTAATCATGGGAAAGAACATATTGTGATACTTTTTATAACGATATAAAGTTCGGGGATTTTTTACATTGATACATAAAATAAAAAATACAAAGTTAAGAAGAAGAAGGAAATACAAACACAGACGAAATTTTAGGAAAATATTACTCTTTACCCTGTGATGGCACAAGGTGTACTAAGAGGCTGAAGTTGGAGGCCGCGGAGGAAGGCGTGCCATTTGTTCTGGTGCGCCTTACCTGAGATGGAAATGGGGAGGAGTAGACCTCTCTCGAGGAAAAGCCGCCATGGGGCGGCTGGCGCTGGTGGGGCCGCAGATGTGTGCGTTTTTGTATGTGCTAGTCCGACATAACCCGTTCTTGTCCCCACAAGGCGAGTATGCTTAGGCATTTCCCCATGTAAAAAAAAGAGTTCTAAGGGGTGATTATAGGAACCGCCTGAACCATCTCATAGCTTCCGATAGATAACATTGATCATCCACCTGTGAAACGCAACATTTGAGGAAAATCATCATATAGGCTAATGAACACCTTACTTACCCTTGCTGATCACATTAACATGGCTGCCGGGTTGTATGATGGCGGTCTGGATGAACCACGGCAGGCCGAGGCACACGAGGATGTCGAACACATTCGAGCCCACCGCATTTGACACCGCCATGTCACCATACCTGGATTAAACGATTTAAAAGCAATATAAACATGCCTCACGAACAACACAGAAAATACAAGCCTACATACATACGTCACGCTGCTGGGGATAATATACTCGATCCTCTGAATAAAGGGGACTTTGGAGCAGAGAAAAAGTAAAAAAAATATTGTGCATGTAATTGTTGCATGTGCATGTAAACGTGTGTACACAACGTGTACGTGTGTACACGTTGTGTACACACGTACACGTTTCACTTCGTACGTGTGTACACGTTGTGTACACACGTACGAAGTGAAACTCCTTTACGAGATATTCTTTTTTCATTTTATATTTTACATATAATAGAAATCGTGACGTTTATAATTTTTAATACTCTATTAAATTACTCCACTGTGTCGATAAAAAAGTTTTACTTAAAAATTATCTTATTTTATTATAATAGTCCACCATGTCGCTTCAATGTGTACGAGTATTCAGAGGTGAAGGGGGACCATGGGTGCTAGAAAGCAGCAGAAGCGTCGCGTATTTAAAAATAAGCAACGCGATAGAATACGTAAAAGTAGTTTTATTCAATTTGTAGTGTTCGCGTAAATATTAGAAATCTTTATCAACCAAGTTGGAAAAATATTGAAGATGAGCCAGATTAAGAGTACCCTTAACCGACAAATACTTGTATGGCCTCCACGATACAGGAGAAAATCCCAAAGTGGAGGGTAAGGTTTTAAATAAAAGAAGAAAAAAAAAAGAAAAAAAAATAAGTTATTAGCAGTTGGTAGTTTATTGTATTATTTTCTCTGCGTGCTACTGTAGGTGCAACAACTGCGTCACTCAGGTGCTTTTTAAAGTTTAAAGAGCACCTGATGATGTCTTACCAAGTTGGTAAGACATCATTTTTTGATGTGAGAACTGCTTTAGAATCGTTGTGATTTTAAACTCGATGGAAAGAGAAAGCGACACTAAAAAGAGACAAACATATACATCTTTAGGATTTAGCCTGCGAGAGAATGAGATACAAGTGCAGTATACAGTGTTACCTATTATGACGGTCTCCTCTTTGTGCGGTTCTTTAAATCTATACATATAATAAAACTGTAAATAGCAGATGTCTGTACATTTTATATTTTTGTAATAAAAGTGATTGAGGGGTACTAAAAATAAGTAATTAAATACATTTCTACCATTTTTAGAATTTTCTGTCTGTCTGTCTGTCTGTCTGTCTGTCTGTCTGTTTGTTTGTTAACGTATCACGTTTAAAGTACTAATTTATATCATAAGAATTGTTAAGGAAATTATAAAGTGTATCTTCGGGTTACATTTAGTCTTTATTTCATTAAAATCGGTTCATTCCATCAAAAGTTATGATAAATATTCTGAAGTATGGGTAGGGAATTTGCTCAACGGTGGCTTTGTTTGAGTCATCAAGTTGATGTTAGCAGCGCCATCTCTCTTCAATTAAATATATACATATAATAAATATGATGATAACATGTTGTGTCTCTTTCTGTACATTGTATATTTATTTTCGTGACTAAAATCATTATGGGGAACTAAAAATATTTAAATAAGTACATTTTTATAATTTTTAGAATTGTCTGTCTGTCTGTTTGTCTGTTTTTATATGAATGCATCACGTCTAAAGTAAACATCTTTTTTTTTCAAAGAAATCGTTAAGAAAATCATAAAGCGTATCTTTAAGTCATTTAATCTTTTTTTTATTAAAATTGGTTAATTCTATCGAAAGTAATGATTATTATTTTAAAATGTAGGTTCGAATTTGTTCAATGGCGCCATAAAAATCTCAGAAATAGTAATAAAAAGATTTGTGTGTAAAAAAAACGTTCCATAATAATTAATATATTTATACTTAAAACATAAAAAGAGATTTAAAAAAGGATGTTTTCTCACACAAAGGACGTAATAGATGGAGTTGTACAAATTACAAACTTTTCTGATTTGCTGTGTTGAGATTTTTCGCCGATGAATCGTATTCAGACTTACTGAAGAAATTTGTATCTATCGAAGCCATACAACGGAACCCGAACAAAAATAACTAAATTGCAACGAAATGTCGTGATATTGTATTTATAATATACGCAAAATCAGTACTGCCATTTTAGCGCTTTGGGAACTAGATTTAGCGCTTTTTTGGAATGTATAGCGCGCATTTCGAAATTTTTGCACCTAGCACTTAATCCAGCGCTTTTTGGTGTATTTAGCAGTGCTAAATTTAGCACACATTTCAAAATTGTAGCGACTAGCGGGTTATTAACTCTTTTATGTTGCACTGTTAGTCCACATTACCGATAATAATAATAATGACCTTTATTATTTTTTTCCACAAATAGTACATCGCAGTTTATCTTTTTCAAACATATTTTTTCCACAAAACAAAGAGCATGGGAGACGAGTCCAAACTAGGATACCCTGTGCTATGGATCTCCCGGCTTCCCCTTTAGGATGATCAACTTGATTTTTTTTATCGACGACTATAAGCGGGGAAATCCCCTTCATTAAAGTTTTCGTTCATGGTTTTGGCAACGAATTTATTTTGCTTTATTCAGTTTTAGTCAGTTGTTTAGAGCACAGCTAAGTTAAAAGTTACTTAGAGTAGTACTAACTACTGTTGACAGCAATTGCCATAATTATAAGTCGATGTCCTGCGAAGTATTGATACATCAAAACACATTGCCAGAAAAAAACTTAATGTTGTTTTCTTTATTATGTTTATATTTTCTTGAATTATAAATTATAATAAAAAACACAAACTTTGTTGTTTGTGTAGTTAATTTAAATCGCGAAATCTAGGGCTTTTTTAAAGCGCTGTTTTCATGAAATCTAGCGCTTTTTGTGTTGTCCTAGCGCTGAATGAGTTTTTTTGATCTGGCAGCACTGCCAAAAAACCCTCTATTAAGAAGTAACTTTCCTTTCAGTTTTAAGCGCGTTCAGTTCCCAGTTACAGTCAGCGTGTGTTATGCGATGACCGTAAATAAAGTGCAAGGTCAAAATTTACGCGTTGTAAGAATGGACCTTAGTACTGACTGTTTTGCACATGGCCAACTCTATGTTGCTTTTTCCCGCGTTAGTAGCCCCCGTAACCTTTTTGTGTACACCCCGTCTAAGTCTACTTCTAACGTCGTTTACACCGAAGCTCTATCATAAACTACTTAGAACTTTGATGATAATGATTTACTTTTTACAGTAATGATATAAATCGTTTAATATTCTCTTACCTAAACGACAAATTCTTTATGTAAAATCTATATACGCGAGCTACGCCGCGGGCACAGCTAGTGGTTAATATAATTTTTAACTGTTAAATAACCAGTTAAAAATTAAAAAATATTTATTAAATAAAATGAACCACATTCAATAGAATTATTTTAGCCAATCCATTCAGAACTATCCACGATTTCATAACTTACCGATTTATGTTAAAATTAGTCATATTTAGGCCATCTAGTGTCTATTTTAGGTCGATAAAATTATTTTACCTATAAAGTAGATGGCACTATTACAAAGCAATTTCACTCGCAAATTTCTGCAGCTTTCACTTCTACCGCATGTGACTACACAAATGTTTTTGTAACGTGGATTTTGACTAGTTGATTTTAAAATCTTTAAAATATTAATTTGGATTCTTACCCTTCTTTGATAACAGCTAGAGATGAAAGAGCGTCAGGGACGGAGACACCGGCAGCTACGAACGTTAGGCCCATCACTGTGTCGGGTATGCCGAGTGTATAACCTGTGGGGTATTATATTAATTTAATTCCGTCATACCATTCTATCTCCTTTGGAATTTGACAATCAATGTTTTTGCCCGACTGGCCCCAGAAGGAGGGTATAGTTTTCGTTTGTATTTATGTTTATTTCACTAGCACGCTCTGTAGCCTACGAGACTTGGTGGATTTAGACACATGAAGTTTCGTTAGATTCGTCTTTGTCGAGGAAGTGACACAGGGTCTAAAATTATACTATGTTTTAGGCAGTCGGGTATTTTTTAAGTTAATGTTTTATCCATTGGGCTTGTTTTGTCATGTTAGTGTTAGATAAGATAGTAAGATAAAGCATTTATTTGTTTTTCCAACCACACACGTAAATTCAATGACTAAACTAAGCACAAAGTAACGTGTACCCAAAAAAAATTACAAAAACTTAAAATCTAAATGTACACGTGTGTTGCAGTTTGAAAAATGGGTCCTACACTAGTCTGCTCTAATTTCTGAGAGAGTTATGGACCTGTTAGACTGTCGAGCCGTTTTAGTGCTTGTTGGCGGACATTACATGTCTTTAATATATTTCTATTTCCACGATGTTTTCCTTCACCGCCAAGGATATTTCTGTATTGTATCTGTATTTCTGTAAAAATACTTATAATACGGTAATAATAAGTAGAATATAAGTAATCCAAAATCTGTTCATGGGATAATTTTTACAAAGCTAAATTCTAATTAAAAATTAATAATTTTACGGTTATTTTACGTTCTTATGGACGCAAAATTTTGTTATCAGTTCAAATCGCAACTGAGAACAAATGACAAGAGCTGACTAAAAATTCTAAGGTCATTTTGTCATTTTGATTTCCTTTTAAATAAAAGTAATTCCGTTTTATTATTACACTAGCGGCTTCCCCGCTTTCTTACGGGTGATTTCTGAATTTCGACAACATTGCCACTTACCGGTGGTAGACTACGCTGCAACTATATTATGGTTGTAGCATGAATGGGTCTGTTCGACCACGCTCTCACAGAATACCAGCGTAAAATAGTAGCTTTATGCTGCTGTGTTTCGTATGGAGAGTGTAGAGAACCGGAGATCCTTTTTAGAGGAAGTGAGGCATTCCATCTTAGATCCCAACGCATCTGCATTTTGATTTTTAATTTAGTATAAATGTAGATGTATATAGGCCACAATATCCACTTACCATCAGGTGGAGTGCGTGCTCATTGGTCACTCTTATTATACAGACTTATTTTTCAAAGAGTAGCCAAATTTTAAACTTAAGTTTGAATATATAAATAATGATTTACAGAGGTACCATTATTGCAATTTTTGAAAACACGAGTAAATAAAGCTTCTACTTTTATTTGAAATTATCCCAAATTGAATGTGATTTATGGGCAACAACGCTTTTGCCTACCGATCGACCCTTACGAATGTGTGTATGCGCATTAAAATCAGTTAAAATTATGCATTATCACGCATTTTGAATTTAAAAGACAAAAGGGCAGAATGTTTGAGATCTTTTTTAAATGATTTTTCTTCACCATTTGCCTATATTACTTATTCTGAAACTTCTCTGCAAATTTGGCCGGTTATTGCAAAATAACCCTGTATAAAAAAGAACCATCTAGATGATAAAAGTACAGAGAACAAAATAGATAGCATAGTTACCAATGATGGTGATCATCCAGACCATGAAGTAAGAGTAGAAGGAGATCCAGAGCATGGAGATGATGAAGGTGACGGGGTACCAGCGGCCGCGGCAGTCGGGCATGGTGTGGCGGCACGCCCAGTGCACCGGGAACGCCACGTACCAGCACGCCAGCTGCAGCCCGTCTGCGCACACCACACAATACTCACTACACACATTTAGTTTCCTTTAGTTCTCTATTTGGGTTGTCTAGTTCGGATGTTCGGACACAACATGACAGCCGACAGCAATATATTGCTAACCTTTACTTCAAATTTCTTGCAGGATATCCTTTTAACTATATTCTAATCGATCAAAGTTATAGGTAACTTAAAAGTAGCTTACTTGCTCCAACAGGCTTAACCAGCGGGTCTATCGCAGTCTCAGGATTGTACTCCTTCGCCTTATAGTATGCTGGCATGGATGGCGGTGCGATTGGCTGTAATTGAACGTTTTAATTTTATTACTGTAATGTTTTTTTGACACAGAAGATTGCAATGAAGTGGACGATATGAAGCTTGTGGAAACTGTCCATGCGTTTGGAGCTAAGTTCTGTAAGACCCGTCGCAGAAGAACACAAAAACTCTCCCATCACACTCTTAATCTCATGGCTTTTAGATGGGAGATGAAGCTGCAGTCTTCAGCAGATTTGACAACATACAGGCAACTGAACAGACAGATCTCCAAATGCATGCAGCGGCAGTCGAAGCTGAAGACCGAATGTGGCAGTATCGTTTCACCGCAATGCCTCTGTGGTTATATGTCTCTCGTACGTACCCACAGATGCATTAAAATTGGGTCTAGAGGATGATTAACCCTTTGGATCGGTCTGCCTTCTAGTACTCGTAAAAGGTTTTAAAATAGCTGTTTTGCCAACATATATAAAAGTGGAGTTTCAGAATGTAAGGGAAATTGATTAATTTCGTTGAGACCTTTAAAGCATCTGCAAAGCAATAATGCCGATGGAAAGTGTCTGGGAGTATTGATGACTGATTTTTAAACGATATTATTTAACATATACGTAAAAATAAGCTGGGAGAATTAACGTAAGGTGAGTAAAGTTTTTACGTACTTTGATTACCTGATACCTGCAAAATGGCCGTCTGGCCAAGCTAGCAGGTAGGCATGCGATCATAGTCCACATACTACCACTACTCAATGTTACACATTTCGTTCGTCAGAAAATAAGTGACGTCTGGTGGTCCTGGGATCTTATTCTAATGTCGTAAAGGAGTTTCCCTTCGTACGTGTGTACACAATATTTACCCGGAACAATTATTTGGAGGCCCATTTGTTCTAATTCTTAATGGAGGATAGAAGTTTGTGTCTATGGACCACAGTATCATTTACCATCATTTACCATCAGGTGGACTGTGTGCTCGTTTGTCATCCTTGTTCTATAAATAATATTAGAGTTTAATGGCCAAATACTCAAACCCTAGTCAATTTTAGAAGGTCGTTAAGTCTCGTGGTGTCTCAGTCACTTTGATTTAAAATGATAGAGACAGCACGACACCTAACGATGTCTTAAAACTGAGCAGCGTTTGAGTATTTGGGCATAAGACAACTTAAACAACACGCATTGATCATGATCTGCGATGATCTTAGTGAGAACACTGGGCCATAGTCATTAAAATATCTTATCGTCATCGGTCTTAGATAACAGTGCAAATTTTCAAGTCAATCCGCTGTCTACAAGTTGGTGAAAATTACATTAAAAGATTCCGTTGCATAGATAGATAGATATTGGTTTTTAACAAGCTAGTAAAAGCGTGTTAAAAACCACTATTCCAAATAGAGTTATATAATCGCATTGTAGATCAAACATAATCTTATTGTCGGATGCACGTACCAGAGGAATAGACTTCTGCTGTTGTGCTGGCTGCGGTTGTTGTTGAGTAGGGGGCTGAGCTTGCGTCTGCGTCGGTTGCGGTTCGACTCCCCAGCCAGTTGCTGCTGCCGCTGGTTGGGACTGGAAGGAAATATTGAAAAATAAAGTATTTTTGGCTTTTTACTTGATATGTCGTGTTGCTGTCTTGGGTGGTGGCGACGTAGGAGAATTCAATCACCCCATTTCGTCCACAAAAGAGGCAACTACGGGAGATGCTATGCCATACTTGTAACATGTGAATACGAAAGTTGTTACGACGAATAATCAGTTTACAACTATGTTACAATTGTTATGACGAATTGTCGATTATTCGCCACAGTTATTCGACATCAATAACAATATCAATAATCATTACTTAAACAGAATGTTAATACCTGTTTAAAAGAATTTAGAATATTGTAAAATACTTCAAAACCATTGATGTAAAGAAAACCGCAGATTTGTGGGGGATTTCCGTTACAGTGATTACGTCCATAATAGATTTAATTGCACCTCATCTTGCTATTATTTTTAATACTTGTATCGATTCTGGTGTGTTTCCTGATTTAATGAAGTATAGTAAAGTAATACCTTTATTTAAATCTGGTAGTACATTGGACCCCGCTAATTATAGACCTATTTCTGTACTACCAACTCTCAGTAAAATTTTTGAAAAAATAATTTTGGATCAATTGTTAATTTTTTTTAATACAAATAAATTACTTCATAAAAATCAATTTGGTTTTACAAGGGGTCGCTCGACGTCTGACGCCGGTGTTGAGCTTATGAAATATATTTTTAATGCCTGGGAGAATTCACAAGATGCCTTAGGTATTTTCTGTGACCTTTCCAAGGCTTTCGATTGTGTTCATCATGATACATTAATCAGGAAACTACAACATTACGGTGTAAACAATTTGGCGCTTAAACTTATTACTTCATATTTAAGTAACAGAACTCAAAAAGTCGTCATTAATGGTAAATGTTCCTCCGGATCGGTAGTATCAATGGGCGTTCCTCAGGGCTCGATTCTTGGCCCATTCCTGTTCTTAATCTATATTAATGACTTACCTTATCTTGTAGGGGACAATCACGATATAGTATTATTTGCTGACGATACCTCTTTAATTTTCAAACTGAAACGGCAGTCAATTAAATATGACGATGTAAATAATGCTCTATCGAAACTAGTACATTGGTTTAACGCCAACAATTTGCTCTTAAACGGCAATAAGACAAAATGTATTAAATTTACAATACCTAATGTAAAACATTCGAAAACCAATGTGCTCTTAAATGGGGAGGAGTTGAGTCTTGTGGATACCACTGTTTTTCTCGGTATTACTATTGACGCGAAACTTCAATGGGGCCCCCATATATCTAAATTAGCAAGCAGACTTAGTTCTGCAGCATATGCTGTAAGAAAGATTAGAAGTCTCACAGATGTTGAGACAGCTAGGTTAGTGTATTTTAGTTACTTTCATAGCGTAATGTCTTATGGAATTTTGCTATGGGGTAATGCGACTGATATTGAAGCTATATTTGTTTTGCAAAAGAGAGCCGTACGGGCGATTTATAATCTAAATTGTAAAGAGTCCCTTAGAGAAAAATTTAAAGAAATAAACATATTAACTTTGGCATCGCAATATATTTATGAAAATGTAATGTATGTACATAAAAACATAAATAGCTTTAATAAGAATAAGGATGTTCATACCTTAAACACTAGGAACAAACATAAGCTTGTAATGCCACTTACAAGACTCCACAGAATTAGTAATTCATTTATGGGGCAATGTATACGCTTTTACAACAGAATCCCAGAACATGTTCAAAGTTTGTCAATAAACAAGTTTAAAAGTTTTATTAAAGAAAAACTGTACAAAAAGGGTTATTATAATATCAAGGAATACATGAGTGAAAATAACCCCTGGGAATAAGGTGATCGCCACCATGCTGGTTCTATGAAAATTCATTTAAAATTGTATAATCAAAATTATTGTTAAGTGAAATTATGTTTAAAAAAAAAAGTCCCGCTGGGTTTCTTGCTGGTTCTTCCCAGGACAGAGGTATTTTCCGAACCAGTGGTAAATAAAATAATGACTTTCAATAAGTATTATGTAATAATCCATATTGAATAAAAATCATTCTATTCTATTCTATTCTATTCTAATACTATATATAATGATTTCTTATATTTACGCGAACACTGCACATTGAATAAAACTATTTTTTTACGGATTTTGTAGCGTTTAATCAAGATACTGTGAGTTCATTCTGCGTAAATCGAACCAAAAATTAATATTAAAAAACTGAAGGTAGCCGGGCTCACTGTGACATCGGGACGCCAAACATCTCCCCCCAATATATACAGTAATGGTCTCCCCCTCGGGAATTAAAATAGTAAATTAAACGCGATAAAATCCGTAAAAAATAGTTTTATGCAATACTATATAGTTAAAAATAAAAATAATAGTGTAAAAAAGGGAATGAAATTATAAATGGCAGCTTAATGCTGCTGTGTTTTGTATGGTGAGTTCTGTGGTTTCTGATCATGTTTGTACTGTTAGCCATTTGGTTTTTACAGCTACTCTCAGGGGTCAGCTAAGAAGGGGTGAAATTTTATTACACTGCATCGTTACTTGTGTGGCGGCGCTGTCGTCGCGCCTCAAGCGAAACATATCGAAGCCTAAATCGCGCGAACTTTGCTCGTCTCTGCTTCACGGCACTCTCGCAGATTACTTGCCTACTTCTCAACTCACCGCAGACTTACAAGGCAATTCCCTGGCACTTGCAAATTCGTCGACATCTAGACTGCACTATCGACCTCCGGTCTGAGCAGGGGGGTGATGTGGCGGCGCTGTCATCGCGCCACAAGCGAAACACATCGAAGCCTAAATCGCGCTAACAAAGTTCCGAAATTAAAGCAATATGTATAGAATAGCTCCGAACTACCACTCGGAGCGTTGGCCGCTCCCCGGGCAGCACACTTTGCCCGGCGGGAGATCTCCCCTTTTCCTTCCACCGGCCACACTTGCGTAACGACGACTCCTAGGACAGTTTACAGTACACGTGGATGAGTTATTTAACGGTTATAAAATGGTGGTAACAGCTAAGTCATATCGTTCGATGTTGTGCGCCTGCGTGTAGAGACGCGGGTGTACGGTGTGTACGCAATGTGGAGGGGTGTGCGGCGCGCCCGTCTGCGGACTGACCGCATCCCGTCCGTTGTTGTTCTAACAATGTTTGTGGCACTAGGTGAATATGTAGTGTTTATGTGTGTAGTGTTATGCTACTTACATATCATTTTACACTATTTTAAATTCATTTTTCCATTCTGTTTTGATTTTCTGCATTCACCTCAAAACTGGATATTTTGTATCACCTTTATTTCCATAGAATCCTGTAACGTTTTTAAACCATAAGAACACAATAACAAATCATTTTTACTTCGTATTTTCACACTATCAGCACTTTTAAATTGGTGTCAATGGAGTCTACCTTTTTCGATCTTTTATTTAGTTTTCCGTAACTCTGCAATTTCGGGCTTTATGCGCGCAGGTGCGCTACCTTTTTTCCTATATCAATAATATCTCATTTTTCACTTAAATCTTGCCGTTTTACTATTACGAGCCTAAAACCAAAATTTGACATGTTTTGACATCGTTGTTTATCTGGTTGTCATGACAATTATATTCAAATTCGCTACCGGTCTGTTGTTTCTACTTCGATAATTCCACATAAATACTCTTTCCTCTTGGCCATTTACAAAAAATTTGCGTTTAATTTAAATAATTTTTCCGTTCTCTCTAAAAAGGTATAAAAGCCGAACAATCGGTCAAGAAAGTCATTTTCGCTTCAGTTCTCAAATTCGAAGCATCTCCTAAAGGCCATATCCCGGGGCCGCACTGCCCCGGGATCCTGCAAGCCCCTGTCTTGCCTTAAGTCGCCGGATCTTGCAAACCTCCGCATTCACCTGAGGTCGTCGCCTAGAGACGCCCACACTTTCACCTACGCTGTGCGTGCTCGTTCCAGGCGCTGAGAGCACTTACTGTACACCTTGGATCTTCGGGCTCAACTTCAACACTAATCTTTTTTTTATTATCTTTTTTTTTTTTAAATAAATGTAAATCACGACATCCATCCTCATCTTCATACTCCATTTTGTTATATAAAATTATAAATATCTTTTAAATTTTAAATATATTATTTGTTTTTGTTCTATTTTTGTTGTTTTTTTTGCTGTTAGGTTAGATTCTTTTGTATTTAATTGTCGCTTCACGACATTTTGGCGCCCAACGTAAAAGTTCTCTTTCTCTTTTCTTCACCTTTACTGCGCCTTGTCCATTCCCTTTTGATTTAATTGCTTTCTCTTTCGTTCTTAACTCTTTATTTATTCATCCTTTTCATATCTTCCAAATTCTAAAACAACACTTCATCTAGTGTTTCAACTTATCTGGATTATATTTAGACCTACATTTAACACTTCACTTACATTCATCACCTTAATATTTTTATTCTAGATAACTTAAAGAGGTAAAATTTTTTAATTAAATTTTTATTTCTTAAACTTAACTTTGCTTTTCATTATAACAATGAAAAGGGTTATTAAGTACGAATTCCTTAACAAGGCCGAGCTCGAATACGAAGTGAAGCTATTACTAAACAATTCGAATCCTTGACTCCACCTTCAACTGAAAATGACTCTCCATCACTTGACCCGACTGTCATGGAACCCCCTCTTGTTTCTCAAACTTCATTTTCATTCTCACCATCATTTTCACCTTATTATTTTTATTTCTTTTAATTTGTTTGTTTGTTTGGTTGGTTAATCTTCACTTTTTATTGTTATTTCAGACACATCTCGTTAGTGATGTTGCTGATCTCTAGCTTTGAGCCCTACCGCTCTGGCCGTTCTTAATCTTTACTTAAGTCATAGCGACTAAAGCTTGCTTAAGATTAGTTTCTTTATCTTTATCTTCACTTGGGAGCGGCTGACTACTCCCTTAATAATTTTTTTTCCACGCAGGAGCGGATGACAACTCCTTAAATAAGCCTGAATGTCCTTTCGAAAACACACTTTTAGAGTGGTAGTCATTGAA